TCTCTCTCTCTCTCTCTCTCTCTCTCTCTATGTCTCTCTCTCTTTCTCTCTCTTTGAGGCAGGGTTTCTCTGTTGCTTTGGAGGCTGTCCTGGAAGTAGCTCTTGTAGACCAGGCTGGTCTCAAACTCACAGAGATCTGCTGGCCTCTGCCTCCAGAGTGTTGGGATTAAAGGTGTGCACCCCCACCACCCGGCTGGTTTAAGTCTGTTAAGCTTTGTAATTACCCAATAGTGAGCTATGCTTTTATTTACAATGACTTCCAAAGGTCATTCTTTTGAGTTTACATCATAAATTTGCACTGTTTTCTAAACCTCTGAAAATTTGCAAACATTTCTAAAGACCTAAGACAGTACCTTTACACAGATATACTCATGCTGATCAAAATCACCTCATCAGAGTTCTTCATGAATGATGAGAAGGTATTCTCATTTTTATCACACACTTATTAAGGACTTAGAATGCATACCCTTTGTGGATATATAGTTATAGATTAAAACTGTCCAAAACTAGAAGAATTTTAATAGCTTTAATCAGAAAGTCTTCAGAATATTTAGAATTCAAAATTCTTTTGTCCTAACTTGGCAGTTTGATTTTGTGCTGTTCCTTGACAGTGGATAGCCTATAATTGGTTGTTTATATGTAACCTATATAATTTTGTGGATAGATTATCCAATTATAAACACTCCAGGACCGTGTAAGATAGCAGTATGTATGAGCTTTAGTTACGTGACCATGAGAACTGTGTATTTCCACTTCATCTGTAAACATAAGTGCCATGTTTTCACAAATTGAACATTGTCTCTTTTCATTGCTCAGTGGTTGTTTCATCTTGTAAATTAAAAATTTGTAGCAAGTCAGCTAATTTTAACGCCTTTTCATTGGCAACATGTTGTCTTTGGAAGAAGTTGTTATTCATAAGTGAACATAATTTTTTTCATAATTTTGATATCATTGACATATTTGTCATCCAAATAGAACATAAAATGCTGTCTGAAATTTGTGAGGTGCGTTATTTAAGGTTTTGTGGACATACTTGTAATGCACATTTTCATTCATGCCTAAAAATCCTAAATTTCATACTTAGGATAAATATGGTGTTTCTATATGGCTCCACTCTCCCACAATTACCATTAGTTTCCCCCTTTCTCAGTTGATAATGCCATCAATGTCTACGTAGAATACCTATGTTTGTTTAAGATGTTTATCTCTCTTTGTGTAATACCCTTAACAGATTACTTTATCATAGATAATTATTACTTAGCTACTTAACTTTAAATAATGTGCCATTCTTTCTTCTTCTTCCCCTTCCTCCTCTTCTTTCTGGTTTTTTTCAAGGCAGGGTTTCTCTGTGTAGCTCTGGCATTCCTGGAACTCACTATGTAGACCAGGCTGGCTTCAAACTCATAGATATCCACTCGTCTCTGCCTCTCCATTGCTGAGATTAAAGGTGTGCACTACCACTGCCTGCCATGCCATTATTTCTATATTCAATTTGATCAGACTTTTACTTGAGTAGAAGTTTAGATTTGTATTTTCTGAGTTATTCTCAGTTAACATAGATATAAAAATATAGTTTTATTTCTGATTTACCAATGAGAATGTAAGTATGGGTAAATGCCTTCATTTTAAAGGTAAACGTGAATATAAAGAATGTGCAAAGCTTTTGTTCATGTCTCAACTTTTGGTCAACAGGAAAAACAGTCAATAAATGCAAAGATTACAGCAAGGCCTTTCATTGTAATTCACTGCCTATTCAACACCAGACAGCTCATTTAGGGGAGAAACCCTACAAATGTGAGGTATGTGGTAAAGCCTTTCGTATTCGCTCAAGACTTTCAGTACACCAGAAAATTCATACTGGAGAAAAAGCCTATAATTGTGAAGAATGTGGTAAGGCCTTTAATACTCATTCAAAACTTTCTGTACACCAGAGAATTCATACTGGAGAAAAGCCCTACAAGTGTGAAGAATGTGGTAAGTCTTTTAGTTCTCACTCAACACGTTATAGACACCGGAAAAATCATACTGGAGAAAAACCCTACAAGTGTAAAGAATGTGCCAAAGTATTTTCCTACCCTTCGTTGCTTAAGGTACACCAAAGAATTCATTCTGCAGAGAGACCCTACAAATGTGAAGAATGTGGGAAATTATTTTACTGTCCTTTATTACTCAAGAAACATCAAATAATTCATTCTACAGAGAAACCCTACAAGTGTGCAGAGTGTGGTAAAGCCTTTCACTATCCTTCTTTGCTTAAGCGGCATCAGAGAATTCATGGTGGAGAGAAGCCCTATAAGTGTAAAGACTGTGACAAAGCCTTTTACTCTTCTGCCTTCCTGAAGCGTCATCAAAGAATTCATTCTGAAGAGAATTCCTACAAGTGTGAAGAGTGTGGCAAAAGGTTTTACTCTTTCCCACAACTTCAGGATCACCAAAGACTCCATTCTGGAGTGAAACCATACAAATGTGAAGAGTGTGGGAAAACATTTTCTACTCTTTCATACCTTCCTTGGCACAAATTGCGCCATTCTGGGGAGAAATCTTACAAATGTGATGTATGTGGCAAAATGTTTTATTCTACTTTAGACCTTAAAAAACACCACAAAATCCATACATATAAGTGTGGGGAATGTCACTATACGTTTACAAGTTACTCAGCTCTTACTGAACACCAGAGAGTTCATACTGGAGAGAAACCCCACATATGTGAACAGTGTGGAAAAATCTTTTCTAGGCTTGATAGCCTCAATCAGCACCAGATTGTTCATACTGGAGAGAAACCCTATAAATGTGAAAAGTGTGGCAAAAGTTTTTTCCGATCCTCGTCCCTTAGAAGACATAAAGGGACTCATTCCTAATAGGAATTTAACAAGTATGCACAATGTGATAAAATCTTGCTAAATATCCATACCTTATCCAAGGCAAATGAATCCATTGGATAGAGAAGTCATACACTTGTGAAGAATGGTGAATGCTGTACCGCTCAGTCAACACTGTCTACCATCAATAAAGTTCATTCTGGAGAGCAAAAGTCCAATTCTGAATGGAGTGACAGGCTTTTGGTGTTATTTTATATCTTAAGTAACACAACAATGTTCATCCTGAACATCAAAGCTGTAATGTGAAGGGTGTGGTGAGGGTTTCAGTTATCGTTCAGTCATGATGCAACCTCAATAATTCTTATTGGAGAGAAGCCCTCCTCATATGCAGAAAGGGACCAGGTTTAGCTGTTCCTCATGTCTATATAAGCTTTGGAGAATTCATTCTGATGAGGAATCCTACAAAGGCAATCAGTGTGGCAAGTTCTCTTCCTGTACGTCACACTGTAAGTATCTGCTGCAGTAGATACTTCATCCTGCAGAGACACTCTACATGTACAATCACTGTCAATACTTGAACAATACTTCAGTCTTCAGCAACACCAACACATTGATACAGGTGAGAAACCCTGCAGATGCAAATGTCCTCTTTAGCATCAGCTGTCAACTTCACCTAGCCCAGCATTATCCGAGTGTGTGCTTTCCTGGATCAGAGTGCCTTATGGGCATATCTGGGGACCATTTTCTTGATTGGTAAGTGATGTAGGGGAGTACAATCAGGACAGGCAGCACCACCTTTGGGGGGTGTTCTGGGTCAAGAATTGTGGGTGGGCAGGAGGCAGAGAAACATGTTAGGAACCATGGTTTTTTCTTCCCTTCTTGTCCTAGCATCCCTGGAAGAGGAACTCTGAGCCTAATGTTGAAATAAAATATTTCCTCCCCAAAGCTGTTTTTGGTCATGCCATTCATGACTTCAATAAATTAATGTAAGACAGCAAAGGACACAGGGAGGCATTTCTCTCTACTTCATACCTCTGTTGCCATCAGACTCTGTACTAGATACAGTGTCACAAAGCCTTTAGGTGTGTCTGCCTCTATTGGACACCAGAGCTTTCATGCTGCATAAAAGTCCTATTGATACAAAGAATATGACAAAGAATTTTATGTATCCCTTACTTAACACCAAATATTTCATACTGTAGATGAATTTTGTAAAAGCAAAGACAGTAGCTAATGTTGAACAGTTGCTGCAAACTCAACATGAGAAATTTAGCCAAGAATGAACTTAACATACTTGATAAGCAATTTATTCTACTCTTCATACCTTAACATCAAAACAATATATTTTGTATAGAAAATCCTACAAATTAAATAGTAACAAAGCCTTAAATACTTAGGGCCTATGAGTGAATTCATATTGTAGAGAAACCTTCTACATAAATGGCCAGATCCATTTTTAGTATACAAATCTCAGATTAGCAAATGAACCACACTAATATCTATAGTGTTGCAATGTCTTTTCTTATAACTTATGTAGAAATGGATATAATTCTAAGCGGAGTTTTCCTGTCCTGCATCCTCTCTCAATCACTCAGAGGCTTCTATTAATTATAAATGCTCAGCCGGTAGCTCAGGCTTATCACTAACTAGCTCTTACACTTTAAGTTAATCAGTATTCCTTATATACACTCTATCATGCTGTGGTACCTTTATTAGCACGGCACATTCTTGTCCTGCTCCCTGTGCATCTGGCTGGTGACCCCTCAGACTCTGCCCTTCTTCCTTAGTTTGGTTGCCCAGCCTGGCTACTGGCCAGTCAGCATCTTATTATACCAATTCAAGTGACAAAACTTTACAGTGTACAAGAAGATTATTCCATAGCATTTGCCCCTTTTGTATAATTAAAAGAGAAGGTTTTAACTTTAACATAGTGAGATTTTATCCAACAAACACAGTTATCAAGTAACAATTACAATTATAATATCCAGTATATTTGTATTTGGCAAAATCAGAGAAAATACTCTGCTATGTATCTTATCTTTGTGAGTCCAAAGTTTTCAAACTAATTTATCTTTTATCATAATTAAAGAAAACTATAACTGTCTAGTCTTCAATTCCATCAAAGACCACAGAAGGGTGAAATGTTATCTAATGACAGGGACATTGGGCCTGGACAGTCACTCAATGTTCCTCTGCAATGTTGGGGCATCCATCTTTGGCCTATAGGCCTAACATTTCTGACAGACAATTTTGAGAAGTGGGGAATTTTGAAGGGCTGTCCTATATCATCTTGGCAAATTTTGGCACAAATTTTTTGTGTCCTGCTTGTCCTGTTTGGATAGCATACTGTCATCAGTTAAGGCAAGGGCAATTTCTTTGCCCATGTGTCTAGCTTTTGCCAAGAAAACAAACTCCATATGGAGTTTCTTCGATGCCTGTCATCTTCTCTGAAATAGATTGGTGCTACCAGGAACAGACATGCCTACTGTCATGAAAAGCCTTAGGTTATATCAGATGCCATATGCTGTAGGTCTTTGAAGTGGTTGAAGACCATCAATCTAAATACATTGGTGTATGACCTTGAAAACATACCTAATATGACTATAATTTTAACTATTACAGATGACTATTAATCTGTATTTCTTAATTATAATTACTTTTCAAATAAGCTGCATGAACACAATAATTTAAACAAGAGCAGAAGTATATATATGCAGTATATCAAAATTAAATTTAAATTTAAATCAGTAAGCCAAGATCCATACCAGTGTAAAATATGTAAAATTAATGGTTGTCTTTCAATTCAAGTAGATTAAATAATCTACCCTTTTATCCTATCATTTCTATATCATATCTCCCTTTCTTCATTTAGAAAGAGATCTCTGAATTTAACTTTTGTTTAGCCTTTAAAAAAAAAAAAAGCTATGACCAAAACCAATTTGTAACCAACCCCCTAAACTAAGACAAATGTCCATAATCCATTGGGGGGTGGGGATGTGGGTGTAGCTCTCTAGATTACTTTCTGTTGATTTGGGGGGTGAGGACTTAGCTTTCTAGACTACTTCCTGTTGATGGGGGGGGACTAGTAATCTTTGCGGGGGGGACCCTGAGAAAATTTAGGATAATGGTCAAGTCCTGACTAGAGTATTCTGTGAGGCTGTATCATCTCAGTCAGCAGCCTTGAAACTGTTCTGGATGTAGAATTCTGAGGAGACTGTAGAGGCATTTTGAAATGATGGATCACCTGGGCCATCCATTGTCATTGTTGTTTGGTCCTCTTGGTCTGAAAATTCATAAACGTACATACTTGCAGCAATACAAACTGCATTGTATACACATCAGCCAAAGATGATTTTTTTGTTGTTGTTATATGTTTGAGCAGGTAAAATATACATCATATGTTTTGTAATTCTTCCAGGTTTATTTATGTCTGCAGTCAGTATTTCAGAGGGTCTTCCTTGATCAAATCCAATTTTCTTGATACCAGAATAAATCCACAGCCTCTCATTTTCTGTGGAAATAAAAACAGAACCTCTTCCCTAAAGTAACATCTTTTGACTTAAATTTTGAAGTCAAGATATTTTTAAAATGCATAGGTTGGGTTAATCCAGCAACTTTTATAATCCAATATTTCTTAGCAAAAATGGCTGCTTCCTCAGCAATCAAACAATTCAAAGACAGCACAATAACATACAGTATCCAGACTATGTGTGTATTTTCTATCTTTATGTGGCTTTTTTGTATCACTTCCTTTTTAGGATTTCATTATTGTAAAACTGTATATTTCATTTTTATGACTGCCTATACCTTCTCTTTTCTCTCCCAAGCCTGTGTGTATTTTTAAACACACTGTAATCCATTTAGAGGGCTTTCCCACCTTAATCTGTATTTTCTGCATCTCTCTCTCTTTCTGACAACATGAGTCGTTAACTGCTAAGTGGTGTGGCTAGGACCAAAACAGTGACATTGGTGCCTGGCTCTGCCCAGCTCCTTGGTCTGTGAGAGCTTAGCTTCATGGTAGAGTCACCAGTGGAAGCCACATGTATTGCCCCAACTCTGGGGGGAGTTTCTGGGTCCATGTCATCACTGAGTAACATGCCACCTGATGCTCATAAACTCCATTTAAGTGTTTGGTAGCAGGACCTGCCAAAAGCCATCTGTGCCTCCAGCTTGAACCAGGAAGCTACATTTGAAAGGAGCCGTGTCTCTGCTTGCCGCCATCAAACAGTGCCCACCCGAGGAAAGACCGTTACCAAGAAGCCTTCCTTAACTGTTCTTTTGTGTGTTTAGAATCCTTTTCTTAAGATTTCTCAGGTTTTATGTGGAAATTCTTGCCAAATGTTTGGGCACCATATGTAGTTGGAAGTTTCTGTGTCTTGCAGCCGCTCTCAAATAAACCCTCAGATGCTTATATTAATTATAAATGCTTTGGCTATACCTCAGTCTTATTACTAACTAGCTCTTACATTTTTTAAACATTTATTTATTTATTTATTTATTTATTTATTTGTTTATGACTGCAAGCCAGAAGAGGGCACCAGATCTTGACGGATGGTTGAGAGCCACCATTTGGTTGCTGGGAATTGAACTCAGGACCTCTGGTAGAGCAGACAGTGCTCTTAACTTCTGAGCCATCTCTCCAGCCCCTAGCTCTTATATTTTAACTTAACCTGTATTCCTTATTTACACTCTACTGTGCTGTGGTTCTTTTATTAGCATGGCACATTCATCTCCTGCTACCTCTGTATCTGGCTAGTGACCCCTCAGACTCTGCGCTTCTACATCATTCTTAGTTTGGTAATCCTGCCTATACCTCCTGCCTGACTACTGGCTGATCAGCATTTTTATTATACCATTTTGAGTGACAAATCTTTACAGAGTATTAGCATTTATCCTTGGGTCTTATTTGACATTGCATTGGTCCGTACATTTGTTTTTTGTGAATCTCATTCGGTCCTTCTCATTATAGCTCTGTAGTAGAATTGGAGGTAACTGTTGGCCACTGTTGTAGGAATTTAGCAGAATCACTGTATGGGGTAGATATTAGAATGAACAGCTGTTTTTCAGAAGTACTTTGGCCTGGAAGAATCCTTGTGAAAACAGTGATTGTTTTGCTGAAGGGGCATTGCAGCCATCCCAGGACTTTGGTCACAAGACATCTCAGGCACACCTGAGGGTCTTGTGTAGGGTCTTGTGTAGTGTAAATGATACACAATAAAGGATGAGAAATGACGGCATGTGATTCTCTCCTTTAGTAAGACATGTAAATTAAGATCAGGGAGCTTGGTATTAAGAAATACTTTGTGTAAATTTCAATAAATACTCCTTTGTATGGCTGTTCAGGGTTCATTCCATCTGAAGAGGATGGGCCTTCCTGCTGCCACATAGGCCTTAAAATTTCACCTTGGAGTCCCTTCTTCAACTGACCCACACCATATGGTGCATCCTGACAGGTCACATTGCATATACCGTCATGACAGAGAAAACAGCTCGACTCCCTGTTGCTTGTCCATGAGTTGACTCAGCTTTTGCTCACCATCCTCTGGCATGGTTAAGGAAAACTCCGTTTTGTGCTGGGCAATCACTCTAAATCCCTAAGACAAGACACTCTAAATCCCAGCAACTCTGACTTTCTCCCTTCTGCAGAGTGTAAAACTGTTGAGAGACAACTAAAGCTTGGTCTGGTTTCCGTAGACTAGCTTACTGCCGCTTAGTGGGGAGGAGGCAGTTCCTCAAGTAGCTGTAAATTCCACAGAAATGAAGTAATGGTGGCTGTTATGGTGAAAGCTTCACCACAGCCCCTGGCACTCATACCCAAAGAGTCTGGGATGTTAGGGTGGAAGTTCCACCCAAACCCCTTGCCCCATCTCCCTCCGAACCCTGCTGCTTCTCAGAAAGCCGACCAAATGATGACCCCTCCCCCAGGGATGCTCAAGACCACTCCCACCGGGCATGCTAACTGCCTCCCAGAAAATCCACTCATAGTTTTCTGGTCTCACTTTTCTGTCTCCTCTCTGTGGGGCTGGAAGGCCATCTGGGAGCTTGTATCCATGACACTTAGGTTTTTGTTTTTGTTTTTGCTAATTTGGTTTGATTTGGTCTTATTTGGATTGCTGCATCAGTGAAGAAGCATATCAAGGTGTATAAACTTTTCACTGACCTTTGCCTTTAACAAGCCCCCAGCCCCGCCCCCCCTTTAAGCTGGGCCACGGTAACTGATGACAGTCACATGATACATAAAAATTTGACTCATTACACCCCGATACATACAGTTCGTTTTCTCCATGTTTCCTAAATGTGAGAAGCTACCGCGAAGACACCAGGACGGAACCCAGGAATGGTACAAAACCCTCTCCCTGGCTTCCTGGAACTCCGTCGCCCACACTTGTGGGAAATGTAGTCCTAGTCCCTGTGACGCCACAGGCCGGGACTTTGGAAAACACTGTTGGGCTTTTGGTTGTCACATGAGTATTGATCCTGCCCAAAATTGGGCGAGAGTCTGGTCCTCCACCTCTCTCCACTTTGCATCTTTGACATGGAGGTTGGTCTAGGTTTCAGTGCAGCTTGAGGGACTGCATGGGATGCGGGGATCCGGAGGGATTCTGTTTCCTCAGGCACTGGCTCCATCACTGCCTCTAAAGCTGTAACTTTACCTCGATCTCCATCCCTCTGTAGAACTCAGGATTCAAAGATTGAAGGGGAATCTGCAAGCTCAGAGAGTCAGAATAACAAGTAGGTAACCTCTTCTCCTAGCTCCTCTGCAACCACCCTCCTGCCCCGCCCCACCTCAGAACACTGGCTCCTCCTGGCCCCTCCCCACTGCTTCCTGTCAGTTGCTGACTCAACCTCCTGACCACGGGTTAATTTTATTTAATGAAACCATGCAACACGTCTTCGAATCATTAGGCACATATTTCCCAGCATAAACAAATGTAATACATCTTGAATTCGTATTCTACAGCAGGTCAGGGCTGGGGAGAGAGATGGCCATGGGGATCTCTAGTGGAGGGAGTAACTGCTTTCTTGGAATGTGTTTAGCTGCCTGGGATTCAACTTGTGCTTCTGAGATAGAGAAGTTGGCTTGGTACTTCAGGAATGGAGAAGCTTGAGAGAACCAGGATTGCCTGGGCGGTGTGGGCTGCCTGAAGGTCCTTGCCTGGAGGTCGTGCTGGGCGTGCCCACTCGGTTTTGGCGGTGGAAGCATTAGCTCCTTAGCTGGGCCATTCTCATGTGGCTTATTTGGTTTCTCAGTACTTTTACTCAAGGGAAGTGGGAGGGATAAGGGCCTTTCTGTAATTTATGGCCATCTGTTACAGACCTCAAGACCACTGAACAAAACTAGGAATTAAGAAAACAAAAGAAACAAATAAAAATAACCTTTGATTTAGAACCAGAGTCTCCGCCAAGTTGAGAACTGCTGCAAAGGGGCAAGACAGGAGCTGGATTTTTTTTAAAGGCACAAACCACAGTTGTTCTTTTGCTGCAGGGACAAAACGCGAACCATGAGTCAACAAACCCATGTGGAGTTTATTGAAGGGAAAGGGAAGGCGGGAGTGTTGGCCAACCGGGAGCAGAGAGAAAGAGAGAAGTGGAGAAGAGGGGCAGAGAAGGGAGGGGGTGAAGAGAGAGAAATGAAGTGTGAGAGAGCGAGGGCACTTGGAGGTGCTCGAATATTCGTACTGAGTCCTTAGGCAGCCAGGTAACTCCTGATGTAGCCATGATGTGGCCATGCAACACATGACCCTTTGAGCTGCCTAAGTATTTGCCTGAATACTGATATGCGTGTCCCACCCATTGTCAGGGGGCGGGGTCAGCATAATACTAGGTTCCAACAACAGTTGTCTCAACTCTGGGGATTTTCTGCTACATAAGGCATTTTATGGTTTTGGCTTAGGTTTTATTTTCTGATGAAGCAGTAATTGAGAGAGATTATGGAAGCAGAATATGCATCTGGTTAACATTTTACCATAACATTTATGTAATAAGGGGAAGAGGGAACGATTCTGGGAAGTGAGCCAAGAGACTCTGAGATCAGTCTCCTCTCCAGATTGCACTGAAGACACAACTGCTGGTCTGTGGAATTTAGCGTCCTCATTAACAGCCTAAGGCTAAGAGTAAATCCTTCTGTGCCCCAGGTTTTTTCTTTGTTTTACACAACAGCTTAGTTTGAAATAGAGCTGGTTTTTACTCATTGCACATCCAATTGCTCTTGTCTTGCTTTGAGTTGACACAAGTTGCTAGGTTCCAGGGACAGAGTCCAGTGGAGGAGACTGGTGTAAGTGGTTTATCCCACTAACTTTGAATGAATTGTGGGTTTAAGGGTGATTCACTCTAAATAGGAATCCCCCGTGAATTCTCACACTACCACTCCCATCAAGAAGTAAGAACCATGCCATACTGGAGA